GCCTTTCTTTCCCGCATGCCATTCTATCGCAGAGAGACACGGGATTGGCTGAGGCCAGGTGGTCCAACATGTCTGCGCCCTAATCCGACGCCACAGATAGCTCCCTCTCCACAGAGCCGCTTTTCCTAAATTTGGTACAGAATTCCTTTTTGCGTAAACTATCGCAAATATGTTAGAAAATCTAAACTTTTCGCTTTTTTTTAATGCGTAGTCTTTGTCAGCCGGTGGTAGTTCAATTGCGTATATTGATCTAGTTCACTATTATCCCATCACCTAACTTTTATTGGTGAATGTTTGCACCTATTTGTGGTACTTTTGCCTTTTTCTAATTTCGACTCCGATTTCGTTTCTGTGAGCAACATGATCTCTCATGTTACTCAGGGATCTTCATCGAAACTCTGATATTGTTTAAAGTCATGTCTTGCAAAGGAAATAATGATATCCAAAGAGATTGGATGATTAGTCTGGCTTAACTCACTTCAACTTAGTTGTGCGCTTTTTGAAGCAATGAGCAGCGCAGCTCTTTACCTAAGATTTGTCGCTGCGTGGGGTCCTAGAATTCTCCAGGTGATATTTATTTCCCCGAATGTTTGATGCCGAGAGCAACGGTAAAATTATTAACTTAGATTTTGGGGTTATAGAGGGAAGAATCATCCATCAGGTGTAGGTCAATCATGTACTAATTAATATACGAATTCAGGCAGCCCTCCTTTGTGGACCGGTCGCGTGATGTTGTCGCTTCCATCGTACTAATGTTTTTAGAAAAAAAAAACTACATATGAAGCTGCTTCTGCTATTGATTTTGATCAGCATCACTCGGTGTATATTCACTCAAAACACCTTTACTTATTTGCTTTAACCTGCCTTTAAATCTGAATTTCTTCAAGTCATGTGATGAAGTTCCTCCCTTTTGCTATTTTTTTCTTCATTTGTTTACTTTACCGTCACTAAACTTCTTCCTACAGTTGATGCTTCTAAACCGGCATGTCTCAAAATGATAACTGTCTTGATACGAAGATTCGCCACATCACTCCGCCGAAGGAAGATCTGCAAACTCTTCCCTCAGCTTTCTACAACTGTAATATCTGTGGTCTTCAAGTGAAAACACAATCAAATCTTCGAGCTCATTACATTAAAACTCATGGCCTTGTAAATGTAACCAAGTGTGATTATACCTCTTACCACCTTCATTTAGGATGTCAAAGATACAGCTTTCTTATTACGGAAGAAAACAGATATATCGGATGTGTTTCATTGCCCTATTCCAGCTTGCAAGTATACAAAGGCCACGGGCACTGGATTTTCTAAATTCTGGCACTTGAAGCAGGTAGGGCTGGGATTCATGCCCATTTAATATATTTTTAAAGAAAAAAACTGTCACATTTCGAAGCATTAAATTTCCCCTCATACACTTCGTGTCAGAGAGGGGTATTGCGGATGTTACTTGGGCTAAAATAAGTATTTTGAATTGTCGTTAATAGTTTTACTCAAACAAGGGGCTCTAAATCTCTGTAATTGCTTTTGGAACGTGTGGCGAGTTGCAGCTAGTCGATGTCTAGACTTTTCGCGGCATTTCAACACCTGAAATTTTCATATTTAGCATTATCAATTGGTTCACATGAAGAAGATCTTCCAGTGCCACATCTGTAATCAGCGCTTTTCCACTCCGAGTGCTCAAGCATATCACTCCAAATCATGCGGAACGCATATTGAGTGCCCCGTGTGTGGTCGCAAATACAAGGCAAAAAAGTTCCTTAACCAACACGCTCGCCGTTCTGGACATGATATTCGTTCAAGGCATGTTGCAGTTTCTTGCTGGAATATTCACCTTTTCATTAAACTATTTCGTAGGTGACCAGTTTTTGTTGTTGTTCTGTAACCAACTTTTCAGCTATCTTTGGTATAACACCCGAGCCCCCTAAAGGTCATGACTGTGTTGAAGGCAAATGTCCACCAAATATCGTGCGCGATCACTTTATTTTCAGAAGTAGCCTCGGTAAAAATTGGTAAATAGCAATTTCGATTCAAATTCTGTACGTAAAGTAAATGTGTATGCATATTTTTAATTTGCAGACCACGGGTAGTTGACGTTGATGTGTGCAACCGGTAGAGCAATGTCCCGTAGTGGACAACGAAAATTTGAAGAGAGTAGTTAAGCCAACACGATTAATGATTTACAACTCTCTATTCTATTCCCCAACCCCAATCCTTATTCAGGGCATCGGTAATTGATAACCTAAATGCACCGAGGCACACCTCAAACCATCTCAACGAACCAACCAGGAACGAGCAAGCAGAGAATCTCTGGACTGCTGCTAATTTATCACAATCGTCGCCCCCTAAGTTGGCCATTCTTCCGATGCTGATTTTACCGCTTGGGGTTTCGGCTGACCAGATTCCCACCTCCTTCATCAGCGAGGTGGTTTCACAACTTCGCAGCAGCCTGACAATCTTTCCCCCCTTCGTTTCTGCTCCACCCACGGAAAATGGTTCTCAGTTGAGCAGTATCACCTATTCTGCTCGAAGCGGGAATTCAGATCAGGTAGGCTGGTCCATTTAACGTGTAAGCTTTACCATTGGGGCGTAGCAGTCGATCTACTTGTGATCGTTTTCAAAGTTACTTCCGAGTTATCATCGAAGCTACTTTAAACCACCGTCAGCTCGTCACTGAAGATTGCATCATTAGCAGTCACTATTCCCCCGCCACGCCATGGACGGCTTACAAATACTTAGGTAGAAGCTGGCCCTTCTTTTTGTCTGCTTGATTAAATTTGGGCTCTTATTAGTTGACTCTAGTTTATGCTTCTGTTCTGTGCTCTTGTAATCTCCATGTCATGTTGTTTTTTGCTTATAACTGCTGTAAAGTAATAATCCAAGCTTCTGAGATCTTGGCAACGACAAAGAACTTCGTTATGTCTGTTGGCCCTTCATTAGGTGGTTTTTTGCAATATGTCCCCTTTTAATTAGGTATCCTCTTTTGTCTACTTTGCAGTCACGAATCGAAATTGAATGTTTGTTGTACGATCTTTATATGATGACGCCATAAGAAAACCTTTGGCTGATTTAACGTACAATGCCGGCGTCTGGTTTATTATAAATAGATTCCTAGCTATCTGCGTTTCGTTTCCTCCATTTTAAACCGTCATACTTTCCTGTTTGGACTTTGGCACATTCTACACGGCCGCTTTTGGTGATTATCAATTGCGAAAATTCTCCGCAGATTAACTGCTTTTGAATCGCCCGGGCGAATTCTCAACTACAGTTCTTGGACACATGCAAACCATTTCACCTCTCAGCTTTGTTCTGTTCTTGTGCATTCTCGAATTCCGTGGTAATAAGTCGACACTCTATCGATAGCGCGAATATTGAAGTAACTGCAGCGAATCTCCATAGTGTTAAATGGAGCTACTTTGCCCGGGAATACACACTTTTCATTGTTTTCTTTCCCTGCAACACACTCACCCAGAACATTTCCTAGGGAAAAACCGGTGGTTCATATTGCTGGAACTACGTCGTATGGACACTCATTCCTAATTTAACATGTTGATTTAAAGGCTAAAGATCCACCTTTGACGAAAACTACCTACAGCTGAATGAATATGACTACCGCTATTTGACTACATTTGGCGTAGGTTGACCAACCCCATGTTGCACCCGTGGCTCCGAATCCAACCATTACTGTCCCGCATAGTGCTGTTAGACGCCACCTTGAAGCGAATTCTCAGCAACCCTCGAGTTCAGTTCCACTCGTCGATGCCGGAACTACGACAGTGCATTTCTCAAATGCTTACACCCAAACGGAGGTCAACCTGCCCCCTGGTTGCCGTCTCGCGCCTCCCGATTCTCAGTCAGACTTCTCAATGCTCTACCATCTGACCCGGGACTCGTGTACGGGCACCTCACCCCCCGACGGTGTGGCTCATATGTCCGTCGGTAACTCCCCACCTTCCTGTACGCACAAACCCTGCTTCTGAAATAATTCTTATACTTTTCACTGATTTCCACCTTCTCTATTTAAGTATGTTCTATTTTCTCGGCAATAACAGGAAATATTCGCGTGTGCATAAAATTTCATTTCCCCATCCAATTAATCCATGCAATATCCGTGTGCATTCTCGTCGTCTGTGTTTCTATTCGCTCCATTTTACCCACGTTTAGTAGTGTATGCGCACTAAAGTAGCTTTCTCAGTGGGTACATTCATGGATGCCGCTTTACACACACAAATGAGTTGTTTTTATTTACACTTGTCTACTTTTAAGTGCTCAAGTTAACATGTAAATATACTCATCATAATTTTGTCATATGCCTCATGCCTTTTTACTGTTTTGATTCTACTTGTGGACGTGCCAATTTTTGGTGATTGGAATCTGCGGTTTATTCTTTCATATCGTCAGAATTTGTAACACTTCAAAAATAGAATCCGTCGAAGCTTTACTTTGGCTTTCCCTTGTAGTTATGCCAGACATATCTCACACAAGCACTTATATGTCTCCCGGCCACTCAATAGAATTGCAGTATCCGGAAATGAACTCTAACAGCACTATGACCAACTACCACCAAACGACTGCGGCTACTGCTCTGCAACCGGTGCTCACTCAGGACCGGTTCGTTCAGCAGACCTGCCCTCTCGTTACTCAGCAGAATGCCTTCCAGCAAACAAGCGCTTCCCTGTACCCAAGTACTTCCACCGATTCCGGTTGTTACGGATACATCAATCGAGTTGACGAACCTCCACCCTCCTCTTCTTCAGGTACAATCGCCATTTATATTTTAGGTGCTTACTTTGAATGCGGACATAAAACTTAGACGGTGTTTTTGGTGGAATGGGTGACATTTCACAGTCCTTCCTTGTAACCGACTTACTTTCTACCGTGTATTCTACTATCGTCTTGCGTCCCAAAGCACCGGTCATTTGCTCCAAATATCTGCAATCTTCGATGCTACCTTGTCAGCTCAGCAAGCTGTTATCATTAGCTTGACAGTGTGGATGTAACTCCTAAGTTGAGTACGCCGATTTAAAACCATGGACAACAGCAAGTTGTTGGGGCCAATCCTCCGCTAGAGCTCAGCGAATGACGTCGCTCGAGCTGGTTGAGTCAAAGTGATAACAACTGTTAGTCTAGTCAAGACGAAAGGAAAAACTAGTAAGATGCTAAGGTTAGGTCGAAATTCGCGGATCGTCACTTCACACCACTCGCAAACCAACATTGCTTCTGTTCATGTTTAGTGTTTTTGGTTAATTAAAGTATACGACGCATTGGGAAACTTCACTGTGCAAATTTGCATTCGGGCGAATCGTCAAACGCTCCTTTCATTGTTGCTTGTCTCGAGGATGAAAGCGACACCAAAGCACCCCGTCGCACAGATTTCAGCCCTCTCTGGATGTGAGAGTGCAGGTTTTGAGGTCGCGTTGCGTGTTTGTTCACTACGGCGCATGCGAATAACTGAACTCGGAATGGGAGCTGATATTGCCACCCTGCCGCACACTTTTGGGTGTCTTTTTGTGTGAGATTGTCGCAAGCAGCCTCTCGTTAGTATGCAAGTACGCACCACTACGACGAATTAGCCGGGTCGCGCTAAGACGCACCAGAGTTCGAGTAAGAATAGCCTGCCTGCCGCACTGAGTAAGCTATGTCCATACTTTGATTGGAATTTCAGACTCGAATATGCAAAACAATCTGTGTGGTCGGTCGTTCAGTCGAAAGGCTTGAGAAAAAGGCACCTCGCCAGCACCTCATATGCGTGCTCTGTTGGAGTCAGCCATTTTCGAGGCAAAATTTCATGGTCTAACGAGAAGGACCCAAACAATTAAATCGACTGTCACCGGGAACATCACATCTTCAGGAGCACGTAAAGCTCCCTTTGGTTTAAAACACGAGTGTTCAGTCTGCTGCTTCATCTGTTGCAAGCACGCACTTTTGACTCTTCTTGCTGGGTCGTACAACTTTGATCCTTCTCTCCTTCCTTCATGAAAACGCGATTCCTCTGTCGTGTGGGAGCACGTCCGCGCGTAAAATAAACAGCCACCTCAGTGTTCGGTAGAAACATTGCTTGACTTTTTCAACGTGGTCATCGTCGATGGTGCTGTGAGCACGCCGGTGTTGGCGTGCTCACTTTAATTCCGACATTGGGATTGAACGGGTCGCCTACTTGTGCACTCAACTCCGAGATCCTCTCCACATTACTAAATTACCACCATTGAAGTTTTTGTCACTTGAAGTAGGGGTTTTCTTCTTGAAAAAAATTTTAGCACGCACTCATAATCTGTATATATTGGAATGTCGTTGAGGATCGGAAGAATGGCTTCTACAACGAGTTTTTTCGTTTTAGTTCCGGGGGCATGTGTGCAGCCATGGCTTCGTACCCTTTTGCTGTATTTTGGATATTTTTCCTGTCTTATTTTCTAGCCACCGATTCACGTAGCGGATGGAGGCCAATGCAAAGAACTAATCAGCCGTCGTTGTGTGCAAAATCAGTCCAAATGCACAGTGCTAACTCGGTTGCTTTGGAAACAACACTTGACCTCGACAATTTTGACCCGAACAGTTCGGGTAATTGCTTTTGGCCTACATCGTACAGCTTTTCCAACACAGAGACACAGACAGTGTTTGATCCCGCCTTTGATCAATGGCTCAACAGTGTGCAAACTCAGACAACCACCTGTCCTCAGGGGCGGCAACACCAGTCCAACTGGACGTCTACTCTGGAAGTCGCTGCGGATGGTGTTTGTGTTGGTGTAAACACTGATTTGCTCACACCCAAGCACAGTAGTCCTTACTGATTCCATATCCTAAGCACCTCTACTGCATTCGCTCACACTCATGGGCTTTCACGTAGGACAGCATTTTAACGATGTTGTCGACTAGGATTTTGAGCATCATTCTACTCTGTTCCCTCTTTGTGGCTGTGAAGCTAGAAGTTATTTGATTTTTTCCGATTAAACATTCCGATTTGTTCTTAAGAACTAATTCAGTTGGTACGGAAACTAACCTGACTTGAGGTTGTTCTTAGATGTAATCCACATTCTTTTACCTTATGGTTTTGCTCTGATTTACAGCCAGTTTTTTTAAAGCAAGTTGATGCGAAAGGATGGTGGTCGATAACTTCCCGGCAAGTATATATTTCATTGCATGCATAGGATTGGAGGTCAAGCGTCTTTCTCAATTTACTTCATGCAGTTACACAACTGACTGTTTAGACATTCGGGACTTAAACGGTATTTAAGTTCCTGTTCAATGAAAGGCTGTACGTAGAAATGACACTGAAATCAGGGGTTGCTGTTATGTAATTGACCGTTTTTTCAAAACTAATAGAATTTGAATTGAAGCTAAAATGCATTTCTCTAATGTTGCCTTGTATTTGTGTCAATGCTATGTCCCTGATATCCTGCATGTGCTGAGCAGCACGTCAAAGCCCTTCATGGTCAAATAATATTGGAATCGATTGCTATGAGCCGATATTTTGCCGTAACAGTATCACGATCACGCTTTGATGCTCGAAAACGCGGAAGTGATTGTGGGTGTGAGAACCTGATGTTTAAGTTGTTGACTGATGTAATTCACATAAACACATGATTTCTGGGCCCTCTGATCTGCTTCTGCAGCGTGTTTGAATTAACCCCGAAGAGGTGACCATATCCACCTGCAGGGAGGGGCCTAGTTTCTACCTTCTGCAAAGTGCCTCTCAATCAACGTACCCTCGATTCGTGTCAAAACTTCCAGTGCCCTATTCTCTGAAAACCAGCCAGTCATCTCTTCAGGCCTCACTTCAAGTATGGTTGGCGGTCTTCTCACAGCTGTGGTGCTGTGAAGCAACGAGAAGGGAAATGCACAAGCAACTGGGGTAGCCTCAACGCAGTTGTGGTGCCCCGTGTTGCTCTCGGTCGTCGAATTCATCCTGTAGTAGTCGACACTAATGCCCACCTTGAAGTGACTGCAAACGTCAAGTTAAGAACTAAAGTTTTCAAACAAATGAATGTGAGTAATTTAAACCATAGCTGCTCTTCAGGTAGTCAAAATTATCTAGTCGATGCATCACGTTGGCATAACTGTGACGTTAGAATTTTAAAATAGTGAGGTAGTTTAATAAATTCTACTAAACAAATATAAGTAATTGTCCACAATCCTGTAATGTTGAAAAGTCTAACTGATTTCGGTAGGTTATGAAGTCCATGTAAAACTTTCACCTAGTGGAAAAGACCACTATTTCACACCGGTACCAGCCATATTCGGGCTGAACGATTTCTTATAATCAATATCCTAGTGATCCAATAGGCTTAAATGAGCGACAACATAATTCGTATAATCTTAAACGCGACATTGGATGAAGTATATTTAAGACACCGGATTTTGGTGAGGTAGAATTGGGGAAAAAGATGAAACTCATGTTAGCAATTGTGCGCTACATACGGCTCTGGAGGTGTGGATGACAAATCATGGTCCAGCGAGTAAAACAAAATGTGTGTAGACACGGAATACAATTGAGCGCGTATTTCTATTGAGATTGCGGGGCTAAGATCCTAGTGCACAAACTGGGCTCAGAATTTAGGAAAAAGGCAACCATCAATTTGGTAAAACAGGATATCCAATTCGACTGCGAGATTGGCACCGAGTGATTTTTATAAATTCAACCATTTTGGATGCTGAATAATCTCTTCGACTTCCATTAGAATCAACTGGCTGTGAAGTGACCAATGATGCACAAATGTGTTGGGGATTAAACGGATCCCCAAGTTTGCGTTCATTCGAACCGAATTTGCAGCAAATGTTGGCAGCGCTAGTTCCAGGGGTCCCTGCCTGTCGCATGTGGCCAAACCCAAGGCTGATGCATTCTTGATGAATACGACACCAAGGAAAGGCGAGTTCGCGACCTTGTGGTATCCCTCACACAGGCACATTCGGGTTAGCTTAGCTGACTTCAGCTATGCATTTTCGAGGGCTTGTGATTGTGGCGAGCGGTTTCCATCCGAGGGTTCTGTGTAAAATAGCTGAACGCTTGACTATCAGAAGACCCCACCCAGTTTTACTGCAGCAGTAGCAGCAATGTGGTCCATTCGAGTTGGAGACATTAGCATGAAGACAAGGTGGCTTAGTCCAATTGGAGCATTGGAATGTGAGAAAGAGGACCACTATTTTTGGCTCTCTGACTTAAAATTCATTCTTGTCTCGATGCTGTATTCTGTAAATCCACCGTGGAAAAAATGTTGCTGTCGAATGGGCAGCAGCCAACAGCATCCTAACACATTGCTCCATCCACTCAATTTCGGCTGATTTGCAGCCAAGAACCGGAGAAGAAGGGATTGGTTTCTTCAATGTAGGTGTGACAGTGCAGCATTCAAGTGAATACGAGTCATATTATGCGACCTCGTGTCCATGTTGCGTAAAAGAGTGAAGGTCTGCAGTGAAGCAGTCCTGTCACGAAGCTTGTCGTTGTGGTTTTGCCACTAAGTCGTTGAGACCACTGCAGCGCTGCTTCCTTTGTTGATGTCGACTAGAATACGCCTTTGGTGTCTTGTCGAGAAGTGAGTGCTCTCACAACAACGATGTCATCTGGAATTTACGCGCAATACCAGGTTACCTCCCGGTGTTGGTTGGTGTGAAGGCCAAGCGACCGCCAGTCCCTCGACTTCACCCGTTTGACACACGCACGCACACACACACACGCGTGTGACAAGCTCAGTGCCGTGTTACCGGTTTTGTTGTGAGGCTGTGTGCTGGGAATTGTATGTGGTCTTTTCGGCGACAACATCTAACAACACTTGCTGCTTCACTGTGTCGTGAAAGGAGTTGATTACGACAGCAGGTGGAGAAACGATTTGCAACTCGAGTGCATTCCACTCGGCAGCAGTGGGCCTCACCAACGCAGTCGGTTGGCCTTGGCGTGAAATGTGCCCGGATCCCACCAATCCGTACCCTCGGATGTCTTGCCACATTCCTGCTAGACTGACCTGCCTACTCATGCGTTACCCACTGCATCGACGGTCTGCGTAGTGCGGTGAAGGCGTCGTCTGTCCGCCTTGCCCCACGAGTGCGCACTTATTGAACACATGCCCAATTACCGCAGACACGTGTGATCGCATCACAAGTGGCGGCTGATGGCGCGAATGCGATGTGCGCTAGTTATGCCTTGGTGATTTAGACGGCGTTCGCATGAACGCGCGGGTAGGCGAAGGGGTGCACGCACACGGTAAAATAAGCATCGTGTGCTGATGCTGATTACAAAGTCCACGCGTTCATTCGGAGGTTTCCTTAAAAAAGTGGTGGTTATCAAAAACAGCGCTGACTGAGTTGACTCGAACAGGCGGCGCACACCTCGGTGCCTGATGCGTATGCCTCCTTAACTCACCATACTAATCGCCTCTACCGTCCACCTTCCGCAGTGTTGTATGTGCTGGTGCAGTGGGAAAGTAAATTTGTCCAACCATTCCACGCGCTGGTGAAGCATTGCCACTTCAACTTTGCAGTGATCTGACTTGTAAACAAGCAGTCAGCGAGTGGCATTACAAAGCCAATTCGTATTCTTCTTTTCTCAACTCCGAAGTTAACGAATGTCCAGCTAAGACAAGATGGATGTCTTAATTGAAAATGAGCGTGTATCTCAAGTCTAATAGTTTAGCATGATGTTCACATTCAAGAGTGGCGCGTAGCTATCACAAATCGCTCCTCCCACATCAGGGGTCTACTCATTTAATTAAAGCCTTCTTAAGAATGCGTAATTTTGCAACACGCAGGTTTCAGTTGAGTATTAATGACAATGGCTATCTGAAAGCATGAATTTCTCAAGTAAACGAATTATTTAACCTCCTAACGTGAAGATACCTATAAATACCTGAAATGTTCTGTACCGTTTTTTAACCAACTACCTCTGTCACGAGCCAATTAAGTGAGATGCTATTTCCTTTTCTCAAGAATCACCTCTTTGTTTTTCCATAAGATCACAAATCACTGCTCAGTTTACCAACCTTAATTTTATGAAGCAAGTTAAAGTCACGAATTGGATTGATCAAATTCTATTTGGTAGGTTGCTTCTGATAATATCCGATAACAGAGCAGCAGAAATTAGCATAATTTTGAGAAATAATTAAAAAGGGATGAGGATGTATACCAAAAACGACATAGTGCTTGCAACCCAATTTTTTATGGGTTATGCAATAAGAAAGGTTATGGTAAATTCCAACAGGCACTTTTCTATTTGTTCTTCGTTTCAATCTGTCCTGCTCAAACTGACCGACGACCAACAGAAAAAACAAATCAGGTGGAATGCGATAGCTAATGCGTAATGGTGTAATTTCACGTCCTCTCATTATATGGCCATCTTGTTTTTTTGACAGATATTTAGAGTGGGTCTTTTATGTTCGGGCTTAAGTAATGTCCAGTCTAGCTGAAGCATGCCTAGAAGAATGAACCAGGCTCCACGGGTTCATTAAGCCCTTTTTGGGTGGTTGCACCAGCACCGATTCCAAACAGACCTCTTCATAAGGCAAATTTACTTGCTTCTTTAGTCATCACATGCCCAGGACACCCGATACCGAGTCCTTAATTATTTAATACACACATTAGGTTTGTGCCAAGACTTAAATTCCTGGATTTGTCTCGAAATAAGTCTGTCAGAGGTGGCATAGTCACAGAGATTTGTGGCATATAACATACGTAGTAGGTGACAGCATTGTGTGAATCGTACAAAGTGATGGTGGCATTTAACGTTCCCAATGCGCTTCTGATTTTTCGTTTGAGATTGGACATTACATTGAGAAGGCACCTGTCATAAATGATGGGATATGTATAGCTGGTACGACAATTAAAATCTTGGCAAAATGGAAGAAAATTTTTGTCAAAATCGTGACTGGTGATACTGATGCCAAAGAAATAATAAAAGGTGAAACTCAGATCAATGCGTGTTCAGTCAACAAAGCGCTAAATTTGGTTCCTTTGCATAATATGTTATACAGTGTTCGGAGGCATACGAATAAAGGTTATGGGATTCTCGCTGCAGACACAAGTGAATTATAATGAAGACGTCCTCACCGCTTACTCCTGTAGGAAGTGATAAAAACAGGGAATGGAGACCTAATTTGGAATTGTGACATTTTCGGGAGTCTTAGTGTTGTCAGCCTCCGGATTTTTCAGGCGATATAATATCAAGGCCGCCAAATGCTAGTTAAATGGTAAATTGTGCCCGGGTGGCACAGGGATTTATGTGACGTTGGGCAGTACCAACATTACTCAATGCTAGATCTCAGGCTCTAACAGCAAATATTTATTTCTCGAAATGGTCATTCTCGTGATGACTAGGTTTGAAGGCCATTTGCAGTTTAACTAATGTCAAAAACCTTAGTTAAGACGATTTTGCTTATGTTGGAGACAAGAAATTTTATCTAGGTCGTTTAATTAATGTTGGCGCACTTTTACCTTAGAACCAAGTCGGGGATTCTGCCCTAATGGAATCGCAAGAACTACTAACCCGGTAACATTTTGCGCAATGCGTTAGATCAAATCAACCAAATTAACATCTTTATAAGACATACACCATCGTGGATTTTGGTGGAATATCAGGTTCAGTATTCCAGAGTAATGGAAAGAGTTCTTCAATTACTCATTACAAAAAAGGTGAATGGTGAATGGTAGCATTAAATTAGTTTTTAGACGATCACTGTCTAAAATTTTAAGGCCAAATATTTTAGCTACCAACTCATCTAAGAAATATTAATAGCTGTAAATCAAATGGGCCTGAAAAAAATGCATGTTCTCCCAGTATTCTGTGGCTAATTATTAGTTGCACAGAACCTTCAGGCAACATGGTTGGTCCAAGTTTTAAAACCGCCAAAATTATTTTTTGTTCACACAAGATCCCTACTGAGACAAATTTAGTCTTGGAATGTCTTGGGTAAATCGCATGTCTTGTTATTACTTGATTACATGTTTAGCCAACTGTTTACAAACTAAAGCTATTCAATTTAAGACAAGTACTTGCCTTAACTGCGTGCTTTGGAAAATTTTGCAACAAAAGTGCAGCCATCACACAAGTACAAATAGATAGTTGCTTCATTGCTCCTTACTTAGCCTATGGAAGTTAGCTAGCGCTAATGTCTCGAAAATTTTGCAGAACCACTGCCGATAAATGATTTATATTTGGTCAAGGCTTTCCATTGATGGATTCTGTTAAGCTACATTATTTATATTTCGGTAAAAAATAAAAGAAAACTTTGTTTCGCAAAGGAATTTGAATTAATTGGCGTTGGGGTACTGTGGAAAGAGCGTGCCTGGTCTTAACTTTCTGATGTTGGTCAAGGAATAACGTGTCGAGATGGAAAGTGCATAAGCGTCTAGACCTGGACCTGAATCAAATCAATTGCGTTATTTATCTCGATGAGAGCAGGCTTAACTTCGATTCGGGGTTTGGATACCCGAGGTAATTTTAAAATGATGCTATTAAGTGAGTGATTAAATTTTCAAGAATACCATTAAATATGTGTTTAATTAATCCAAACTGACTGGCGAAATTTCGGTATAGCACACACGAAGAAGGTTTGATTTCTCTAGAGTGAGTGTTAAAGGTAGGGATATTTACAACTTAGGTTCTTTAAGCACTACAAGTACGACGCTATGTTGAAAGACAGAACAGCTGAGACGATTCAAGACATCTTTTGTGTTAGGGTCACAAAAGTGTACTTGCTTGAAAGCTACATGACTTGACCGTACTTCCCAAATACTGGCCAACTATCCTATTCTAGCCTAGCACTGAAGCGACCGTTCTCCTTTCGCCGTTTTAAAATTAAACTGAATAGATTATTCAGGAAATAATGGCTCAGTAAACTCATGCCTCAATATTTTATTGTAGAGATCGATTGATTCCACTGATTGTCCAAAATGAAGGTCTGCAGACCTGTAATTTCGGAATGAGTACATAATTAATAACAGATGTTTGACAATCAATTCTGTGGTCGATTCGTAGAAACGTTGGCTTGTTTGGCAAGACTGCAAGCAGCTTGAGACCTTGATAATGATTAATAACTGAGAACTGTTCAACGGCTTAAATGACATCAGCATCTCTGCGTGAAATATGTTCTTATGCAAAAAAATGTAAGAAGCATACATGTGGTTAAAATTATACGAATTAATCTGCCATATTTCCCCATACGTTTTACGTTTTCATTGATATATTTGACAAATTGCAGTCATGCCAAATTGCAATCGTTGAACATAGCAGCATACTGCCTGAACAATTTTTGGAGCACATCGCTCCTTGGGTATTCGTCATTTCCACAAAAGGAATAATAACTAGAAACCTGGTGCCTTTTGGGAAAGAGCCTCCTGTGGAGTTCTAAATGCGTTGATGAGTAGAGTTTTCGAAAAGCACACCCTTCTCTGGTGCAGGTGGTGTTTCATTACTTGATGTAATTTATGAAGAAAATGCGGCATTAATACGTGGTCTCGTGCGAAAAGTGACAACTACTCCTCTAGCAACATTCAGTCGAAACAAAGAAGCGCCTTTCACAATGCATTTTCACACGAACGTTTATATTACCATCATGCCATTCAAATTGAATGCGTTCGTACGTGTTTGTGGCCAAATTCTCGTCAGAAATGCTCTCCGGCTAACTATCATTGCCAATCCTTGTTAGATTCGACGTGATGTCAACGTTACCCATTGTGAGTAAACATGAGTGGAGATACCACTTGAGTTTTTTCCTAATAATTTGTCCATTACAGACCCCTCGGGACCCTACTCCACCACACAGGAGGCACACATAACCGGATGTCCATGTGTCTGCTGCGATGGTTGACGGTGACGTGGGAGGGACACCCTGTTAACAGAGGATTTTCGGCGTGGGAGCCTTATTTACCAAAATTTCAGATCAACCGGTTCAGATAAGCTTCTAATGACCATCCGCCCCTGGCTTGCAACCACAGAGAGCCATACTTAACGCTCCCCAAAAGAAATTCGAATTGTCCACAAACACAATGTCCTGGATGCGTGTATCCACGCAGCCGGATATCTGTGTCATTAAACTTAAGCCATCATCGAAAGTTGTCTCATGTTTCATGACTGCAGTTAGAGGACGGTGGAGGTGTCAAAAGCTTTAAGACGATTTTCTATTTTCAGTTACTTTTCTTTGGCTTAATAAATATTCACCCGGGTCTTTCCACGTTTGCAAAATGACATATTAAATTACTTTGAGCTCATCAACTGCTAGAAGTAAACTCATTGAAATAGCAAACACGAGTGCTATACCTCGATATTCAAGTGGGAAGAACTTGAAGTTACTCAAGGGCTTCCATGTAGTCAGTCAAGTGTCATATCGGCTTGGTGCGCTAAAAGATGGCTTTTATTGCAACTCCCTTGCTCAAGTTCGTTGATTAATTGAGATATAAGTTTTTTTCAGGGCTGGAAATTTAAACTTCAGACGCCCATATAAGGAAATCATCATGTATTTTATTTTATACACGCGACGTGAAGAGAGTCCGCATCTCCATCTCCCTCAAAAACTATATTTTTTGTCAAATGGAACACACGGCTCCAATTTATCAACTAAAAAATTCTGGATATAATATTTAAATGAGGTTATGTTCAGATTTCGCTTTTAGGTGGTTTAATCACATCTTTTGCGTTAGTGAAGTGGCCTATCAGACCTCAAAAGTGCACGGTCGAAGTCGGTTGAGTTGCTTGCTTTTGAATATGTGTATCCCCATGGAGATTATGGGTAATTTTGGCACATGTCCTGGCCAAAATAAGAGACAAAATTTGCATGAAGAAGTCTGTTGGTGCGGAAAGGGTCACCTGAATCACCAGTCTGAGGAGCCTTCGATTTGCATTTTTCGGGGATGACCGAATAAACAAACAAACGGACCCACATTATTGGAATAAATCCTAAGCGAATGTCCTATCCTGTTGCAACACACAAGCAAGCTCCGAAAGCTGGCGTAGATGTGTGCCGTAATGGTCGCGTTTACGTTTTGACACGTTGAGTTTGTAATCTACGCAACTATTGGACGGTGAAAGTACTTGGGGTCTTCATTTCTGGTTTATTTGGTTTGTGACGTCAATATGTCTTCTTGTAGGTCAGTGTGCTTATAGCTTTCTACTGGCAAGAGGCTAAATTCATATTCCGACCAAACTGAGGCCTTCTTAGTCGAATAGTCGTGCACGAGTTTAGGGCCAATTAGGTGGCTGCACGAGAGTGGCAGCTTGTTGACGTAAAGAGGAACTCGGCGAGGCAAAGTAGCGCGAGTAGCGAAGACGGGTGCAAGGAGGATGCGCGAGATCGCTAAAACTGCTGTGAGAATGACACGCAAAGGAGCAATGAACGCGGAACACGAGGTGCGTGGAACGGCACACGGACCTGACTCCTGTTGACACCACGGTGTTAACATCAAAAATTTAAATAAAAAAAAAGAATTTTAAGAGAACTTTAAGCCAGTACGATTTGTCTGACTGTTAGACCTAATGAAGGAGTGAAATCTGGGTTCGGCCACAAGACGTGGTCGACTTAGGGAAGAGGAACTGCACAGAGGAAAGTTGAAGTTAGATCCGAGGAGGTCTAATGTCAGAGAAAACCCGCATAAGGAACACTTGAGATCTAAAGTAAAACAGATTAGTTCTTTTGCGAACAGGTGTATGAGAAAGAATATTTAATGGGTAAGTCAAACCCAACATTGGAGACCGCGGGTGGTCAAGTTGGGGAAAAGCGGCTGCACTGAGGGCAGCAAGAACACAGGAGAACTTGAAATGTACATTTGTCGAACCCAAAATGAATGCCAGTAAAACGATGGAAAAGGGTATCACAATCTAACGTATTATCTTTCTGCTAGACTGTAGGGTCCACATCACCTGGAAAAGAGGGGTCATAATGCCGGTACAACAGAGGATTAGGTGTGATGCCAAGACCAAAAGTCATCTTCTTTCCAATTTGCTGAGCCGGTCACAAAATCAAGGTAACGCAGAGGCTCCACGCTAACTCTCGGCAAGTTCGTATTCACATCAAATGATAATTTAACATTTTAAAATTCAGATCTACTGCTATGGTTCATTGTGCATTCCTGTTCTGATGTCTGATGTCTCATTCAAATGATAGCAGTAACGAACTTCATATTTAGTCAGAGTTAAGACCGATGTCATTCCCACATTTCTGTCATAAAGTTATTTTAGCTATTGCTTTAAACGAGTGATATTGAATAGCCAGGTGTTTTCGCTAAATGTACCAATGTGCCAGTTGTACTTGGTGAATTGAACAAAAGATTTTTAAAGGAGTCTTTTGCATGGTTTTTAGTCTTTAAAGGAAATATCTGAATAAGGAAAATGTTATCGACTTTTTTGCGTTGGTGAGTTATTGTGATCGAGTCATTATACCTTAATGAATGCAAATTTAGCGTAACTGAATGCAACAGTCTCTTTGTCCTGACTCGTAACTGATCTAATTAAATATATGTAACTTATTCAAACGGCGGTTAAGCGTTTTAAGCAAGCTCAACTGCTTGATTTGCAAAACAGGAGTAGATCTAACTTAATACGCAGCTAGTTCTGTTCTGGGGATTTTTGGGTCAAACGAAACGAACAGCCCACCACAGGAATAATGGTTTGGGAACACCAGCTTCATTAGATGAAGACTCACAAGGGAACAGCAAACAAATCCCAAGGTAATGCAATAATTTCATTTTCCGCATAAATTTTCAAGTGTTTTTTTGCTAGAGCACGACTGACTGGAAAGCGATAACCTGACTCCAAGGTATTTACGTGATAGAAAGTAAGGTCGTTAGAATATGTTGCGAAAATGGTGCCAGTAAATAAAATTGTGCAGTCGGTGAACTAGAAGTGCCAAACTAAAAGTTCGCGTACTCGAGTGATAGGTAACTGACAAGTGCCCGTTGGTCGTTGGTGATCCCTGGCTCCCAGCTGAACTGCACTTGCAGCGTTAATACGAATACTTTATTCGGCAAAACAAAGTATGCCGCTAACGAAGCCGATCAATGAGAATGTGCTATGACAGCCATCTAGTGAAAGTTAACATGCATTTTTCTCTTTGTGCGTATACCAAGTGAAAAAATAAAATGGTTTTTGCAAGAGGCGCTTAATCCTAAGTCAGTGTTATATCATGAAAGACAGTGAAATAAAAAAACACCATATACTACCTTTGGCTTGCTGTCGGTGTTTCAGCTTTGTGTGCATCGTCACGCCTAGTATCCCATCTAAAGCCATTCAGAATAAGTACTGTCAAGTAATATTTGTTTGGCTGGGATATTCTCGGTCCTTTTTGATTCCACACACTTTGTTTCATTGCCTCCCTTTAAGAACCTAAGCAGTAGCCAACCACTGGAAAGGTTCAGTGAAATAAAACACTACTTTTACAGTGCATCAACTTGCACTTCAGCTATCAGTTGAATTTTCAGCTTTGTTGCACTGCACATGCCGTCTGAGTTCAAGGAAGAGTCGTCCAAATTCAGGACCGACGCCACAACAGAGTACCACAAGTGTTGTACTTGGCCCTGATCTCGCCGGCCAAATTCGTCGGAGTAAAAGTGCCTCCAGCGCTGGAAGATGGACAGCTCCTGATAAGGCTAACTATCGATGCTTTTGTGTTCTTAGGCAAATTTCTTGCGTATGTTGCAAGAACGAACCCGATTTTGAGAATTGCGGTTTTAAGGCCACAAAATACAATAGCGAATAGCATAATTTAAAATAAACTTCACAACATGCGAAGTTTTATCCGAAAATAATTTTTTGGAAATCTATTCTTAAAACCTAAATTAAAATAACGAGGATTTGACCTAGCATTTCGTGGCGAAAACTGCAAGCCCAAGTAAATTATTTTTAATTCCAAGGTAAACTCACAATTTGGTCTTTTATAAGATTCAAATTAGTACGCATGTCTGCAATATTTCATTCCATCGACGAACCGTCCATTTACCAAAATAAATTATTCACTGAAGCCACGCGAGTTCGATCTGAAGTTGAGCAAAACACTTGGTCACGGTAATTGGCCCGTGCTTTACGTCATATTGCATCGGACCGGTCTTAGCATTTTTAAAAAGTTCAAGAGCGGCACGGTCGACCACTTGCACATCCCCATTTTGTGTACGTTGGCATTTCTGTTTTAGGAAAATGCCAAGAACAATATAAAGTATTACGATATACCAGGGGGATAATTGAGCTATAATTTAGTCGAGTGATCAGAAAAACTCTACTCTATGTAAATACTTTATTGAATCCGTCCCATGTACGCGACAGTACATCGTCATTTGTTGGAGAGATCATCCTCTCACTGCATCAAGATGTGCTTGGCCGCAATTCATTCCTCAATTGTCTGAGTGTTGCTTTTCGACCATATGTTGAACGAATGATTCCAGTCTCCTGAGGGATCCATTTTTTAGGTGGCTTACAGATAGGCTTCCTTGGGTTCTTTTTAGTAAGTCTGTTTATAAACCGTTTGTTCCTCAAACTCAATTCGTGGAGAAAAATGCAAACTGAGAAAGACTAGGAAATACTTGAGCTGAGGTTGGATCAGATATCTGAAAATGGGCTTTAAGTCATGGAACGCCGAACGTTTGTATTAACTCTTTACTTTACTTTCACATTAGTTCAAATGCAGAATTTGTAAATTATGCCACTATTGTTACCTTAATCACTGGTGACAGTGATTGGAAACTTGCAGCTCTTTTAAAGGAAATCAGATGTTTTAATTTTAAGATTATTAATAAACCTGAAGGAACTGATTTATTAATGCTCGTTGTCTAAAGCAACCACTTTTAACAATTAGGCATTACTGGGATAGTCGACTTTGTGCCATTGTTCCACGAGGCAGTCAAAAAAATTCCCTATTCGTTATCGAAAACGTCCCTTTGGTCAGCTAACAGTTAAAGATGAATGCCTTTTTTTACAAATGAGGCCATTTGTGCCCAGTACTCCAGAGGAATCCTGTGACCTGGAGTTGGCAAATCAGGGACGAATTCAAGCCCATCCAGCTTGAGGACGCCACATTCAGGCACGGGTTAATCTTAGATCTGAAGAGCTTTATTAGGTTTAAAAGTATGCAGGGGGATGCGGTATGGTCTTATCAAGTCTACCCGAGGTGCTTACATGCCAACGATTCTGACAACATTCCATGTATTGCCATTGAGTGCGTGTTATATCATGCCTCCCCTCGTTTTCCAGTAAGAACTCTAGGTCACTTTAATCGCGCCAGAAATTCCAGTAAAATAATACATTCAGGAAATGATTTAGTTGTGCTAAGAGGCTAAACGCTCTATCGTACCACAAGAACCAAGTTAATTAGCTGAAAATATACTTGAAAATAAATTCACAACATTCAGTCCCCTCAATAGCCAGATTCAAACCTGCTTGAGTGCTTCATCTAGGACATCGTCAAGCGGAAAGCCATCAGCCGTCTTCACTATGAAAGATTTTTAATAAAGCCTCGTCATAGCTTGATTGTGATTTTGATTAAGGACCATGTGGTCAATGCAGGTCTTTGATTTAGAAGTCTCACTGAAGCATTGGCAGTGCCCGAAGGTGGTTTAATTGATGCAATTTTGTATCTGTGTATGTAACTACGAGGCTTTTGAAAGCCCGAAAATGTGTCGACATTGTAAACCACCGTTGCCATTGTCCTTGAATTCCGCTCACCAAATACTGATGCATTCTGAATGCCACAATTGACGCATCTATATCTTGTCATATTGTTGTAATGCTATTGGTTGCCCAGTAAAAACCTTTGTTGTCCAATCAGGAGGTGAAATTGTTGGTTTGCCACTGGCAGTGCCTACACAAAACGCAAAATATATTCGCCGTCATCCCATTGGTTGTTAGGTAGGTACCATGCTGATTATGCCAATTAGCCTGTTTAACACGAATTTTGGATAAACTTTGGAGTGGTTTAGGCCCTTGTCGAGTATCCCTTAGTTGGGAAGGATGTCATTCCTTATCCGCATAACGGGTCCAAGAGAAAGTCACAATGCTGCACCAAATCCTCCAGGTTCTGCCGCTCTTGAGGAAATGAAAATGGAGGAAGTGAGTTTGGTCTGAAATTTGGCTATGGAACTTGGGCGTTGTTACGAAATACAAAGACTGGCTTATTTCTATGCTTCGGTTCATGATGCAAGTGACCTAAATGATAACGTGTAGAACTTTCAAACTTCCGATATTAATTTGATTAACTTTAATTAAATGAAGCTGAACTTGATGACACCCCCCGCACTTGTCCTCTAGTTTAAGAAGGTGTCTTTCCGTAGCCATTAATGGGCCATGAAACTGCTTTTTGATACGAAACAATCATCCAGTTTAAAATGTCAAAAATGGACAAAATGGGAAATTCAAAGACCCAGGTCATTCACCTCTCTTGCCCTAAACTTCAACCTCCGTCTTGAATGGACCAGTTCCTGTTTCCTGGCGCCAATAATTCCCTTGGAAATATTATGTTATTTTCAAAACAAAGTATGTTATTTAACGGTAATCTAAATGGTAGGATTATTTGCTGCCCACCTAAGCCGACTTATGAGTCGGAGTGTTACCATTAAGAGTGGATGGCAAGTCAATCCATCCTCCGATTAAAAAACTGATTGCATAATTTTGAAAAAATCGGCCCAGTTAAAGGAGTCAACACGCGACGAAGAAATCGGTGGATGATCGTATTTGCTGGCCATCCAAACTACATAGTTCTCATAATGCGAAAAAGTGCGCTTCGGATTGGTCAAGTTCTTTGAGTACTTTTTTTCCATGACCTCATTCACATGATAAATACATTTCGAAAAAGATTCAAGTCGACCCATCAGGAAATTATCACCGTACCAACTTTGCAGAAATGACTCACAAGCAATGAAACAGATATATTTGTTTTCTTAATAAGAATAGCCTTTTTACGACCAACTCCCGCTTTTTTGTGGTAAGCGGTTGCGTGAAATGCGGAAAATTCCCGGAGTGGGTGGTCCCAACGGACCTGAAGCGGTTCCTTGGTGCATTTATTGAGACCACATTGTCTTCTTGGAATGTTTTCATACTCTTTGGCCTATATCTCTTCCCTGAAATGCGTGGCCTGAGAAACTTTTACCGCTCTTCCTAAGGCTTTCATGTTCATTCCGATTGCACACAAATTTTCCGAGGTCAGGTAATCGATTCCCGTTTAATATCGACGTGACGCCATCTTGGTAATTGAGGAATTGAATTTGAGTGCCATTAATATGAATGTTGTCTTTATTTTCGTGGTACCGATGTAACAAAACCGATGATGGATTAAAATTTCAGCCAACTCTATTTTTAACTTGCATATAGCTTGTAATATTTTTAAACTACTGAACTATTCTGGAATCGGCTGTCCTTTTAACCATCTTAGGTAGGCCTTCCTTTGATTTAGTTGTATCTCAAAAATGCCTGATGAGGTTCAAAATGTCGTTGACCAAAAGAAGCTGTTGTAGATTATTTAACTTTTACATATAACGACTTTTCTTGCAAAAATTCCAGTTAAAATTAAATTTATTCAATCACTTACTACCTTTTGCTCCTCTTTATAAAATAGTGCTGGGTTATATTTTCCAATTTCGAAACTTAGTCTGGAATATTCTGTCCAATTAGACTGCTCTCAAGATGTAGGCTTTTGCAATATTGCTTAATAAGTAATTTGAGCCTGCTTATTAAGGTAATGCGCATTCCTATCCTATGAGAACATTGTCGCATCGTAGAGTAATCTAAAATAACTAGGAAAAGTACTCTGCGCCCATTCAAATTGTTTCTGGGTGCCTCTATTTGGTGCCGTTTTTAGTTTTCTTACGTGGCTAGAAATGTGGTAGTATCTGGGCGATCAGCTGTCTTCTTCTTTGCTAGAAAAGTCGTTGATTATTTTGCCAGTGTCCAAGCTTGTCTAGATTCTGAAACCCTTGGTCAAGAACGCGACCTTTTTATTTTCAAATTATTTGGTTGCAAATGCGAAGCCCCTCCCTACGTCGATCATTTGTCGCCATTTTGTGATTTTCCCGGTACGACGTATATTGTGAAAACGTCTCATGTCACGCAGACCTTCGATGTCATTCTGGTAAACTCAATTTTTTACTTCAGTAGATTCCAATTGAAGTGTTAGAGCATCATCACTAGATCGGCAATCGAGGTTGACTTGCAGGCTGAAAGCGAGTGTACCCGTTGCCCAGTGTATTAGCGAGTCATTCCGCGATGATGTACCAAACTACCCAAGTCACAAATAGGTTGGTTTTGTGCCTGGGTGGCCGAAAATTCTCTCGAATAGGACTTCCCAGAATGAACCACCTGCCCAACGTAAGGTCTGCAACTGTGCGCGACCTGCGGTGCGGATTCATGCATTCCTACACAGTGGCTCCCACTACCGAAAACTCGTTGGTCTTCACTGATGATCTCTGCCATACACCAGGAAAACCCGTCTTATCGGTAGTCCACCACGTTGCGATGAGACACAAGGTCTAATGATGTAGCGATGGATACTTGTTGTATATGTAAGCGGTTTACCCTGCACTGGCTGACATTTCAGCCTAAGGCATAATTAAGACAGGGACAGATATGTTTGGATGAATTTTCCGTTGGTTCTTTGTGAACCTCTCGACCTCTATTAATCCCAACAAGTTTTGTTTGTTGTATTTTCATCTTTAGTTAATTCATCAGATATTCATCGAAGAAAATATCCTAGATGATACATGGCAGATCAGCAGAAACGGAAAATACTTTGTGGTAAGCGAAATTGACTGCAAGGATTATTGTATGCTGTAGTTTTATTCCAGGCCAAAGCATTTTGCTAAGCGTGCTTACCTGACTGCCTGCTTTCAAGCAGAGTCGTGTCTTAAAGGAACCCCTACTAAAATGATTGCCGAACTCAACCAAAATTCAACCTTACCAGTGACATTTACAGTATTAGCACCTCCTGCTTTTGAAATGATCCACTACTTATATATTTTATGTCTTAATTCGCTGCATGGAAAATTCATAATCCTTAATCTGGCTTTTGTAGCATGAATCAGAAACTTATGGAATAAAAAAAGAATAAATATGTAATTCAGTCTCAACAAATGTGGTAGGCCTGATAATGTGACAACTTCATCTGATGACAGACTATGTATCTTAGTACACTTAAGTCTTGAGCACACAGGGAGCGAACACTTAAAAATTGTGTCGAAATTCTTCATTATTATGTGCGCAGCTCACTTGACGGTGTAGATTTTAAGCAGTGCCCAGGTAAGTCTGCCAAACCTCACTGTCCTTAGTTTTAAATCTATATTTGTATTCGGCATTCCCTTCTGTTTTAAGGACATAACGACAAATAGTACTGCACCAAACGTAACTATCTGAGTTCCGCTCCTGATGCACTTCAAAACAGTTTGGAGATGCTTAAACTCAGCAGTAATGAGAGACAAAAGCTGTTTACCAATACAGCCTCCATTTTTTTCGAATGAAGCTTTAGCTATGGCATTAAGTAAATTTTGGCAGTTGATCACTTGAAGGCTCATTGCTACTCGTAACACGAAGAAAAATATGACTGATGAGGATCTTACCATTGCGCCAGAAGCCTTTGCCTACCACGATCATCCCTCTCCCCATTTTACAGTACTTCCTCAAGTTATGAAGTGTCGTTGCAATATACCAAGGATCCTTATAACTTTTAAATTTCTAGGTTGAATTTCCAGTTATTGGGCAGACTTTTGCCGAGAAAATACTGGACCGGCTATCCTATTACAATGTCGGAAAGACCGAGGATTCAAACATAATGTAGGCTATATTCACTTGGCTACTTGCCTCTAAAATGCTAGTTTCGTGGTGATTTCATGAATTGGCTGTTGTTACTTTTTTAGGGTGATCGACCCCGCTGTGCTGGTTTGCAAGAGGTCCAAGTAAGCCCTCTGCGTGTTGCGTGTGCCTTTTATCCATGAAATGAGCAGATATGTACTTGATAATATTGGGATTTCGGACATTTCCTATAAATTTTTTCTCCAAAATCTAAATTTCAGTCACAGTAAAAACTTTTCTAATGTAATTACTGAACCCTTAAGTTTCCACCTTTGTTGACACTTTAGTTAACCAATGTTAGACTCAAACAAACAGTCACTTGGTGGACCTACAAGACCCTTAGTTTTTTATGTTTTCGGCTAGTTTATTAACCCTAGATAATTACTAAGTGTATCAAAAATCTTTGCATACACCACAAATTGCTGCCTACTTCCCACTGGTCGAACGAGATCCGCCGATAAAACACCAGTGAGTCCAAACCATTTTTTCATATCGTCGATATTTTTAGAGCCAAAGAAACTCAAGAAATTCCCGTGAAGCATTTCCAGAAATTCGTCAATTCTCTCAAATCCCGCCTAACAGTTGCTCAAGTGAGTGTAATTTTACTCTCGTCTGGCGATTTCCTCCGGCCGTGCAAACATAGGGGGCATGAATTCCACAACAACGGGCGATTTGACAGGTAGAAATGCTAGCTTGGGGGCTGGGTAGCAGTATCTCTTTTCCACGCCTTTTGTCTTTCAAATAAGGTTATTTAGCACTTCAGCACATTTAACAAGTGTGGGCCGCTATTTTCGCAATTGAACTCATTGATGTGGCTCAAACTTTTAAAACGTTTTACTGACATTTTGGGATATCCAGTTGAATGCTATATCAATGTCTTTTTATAAAAAGCGTATTCGAATACTATAAGCGGAATAATTTTTTGCCTTCCACCCAAGGCCTCGGCCCATCTGCGGCTTACCTTAGGAAATTCGCTTTCAATGTTAAGCTTCTGTAAACTCACGGGTATGCGCATCTTATCATATCTGTGGTAGTTCCGTACCTCTCAGAGCTACTGTGATAATTTGTTTGTGCTCTGTCTGATACACAAGCACCTGCACCATACTCATTTGATGTGGGCTTAAAAAGTACCATGAATCGACTACGCGTCACATCCCTGTGGCTTTTGTCGAACATAGCTCAAATGTTGCCACGAAAGAGTGACTGGATTCATCCGAGGTCAAAATAGCAATCTGCTTGTGTCAACAAATGCAATGGACTTCTACTGGCAGTGAGCATTGCTATTTTAATGTCCACTTGTCTTGGCACTCGTGAGGTCCTGGACACACCAAATTTACCCCATAATTATCATTTGTTGCGTTTGAAGGTCTTTATAAGACGACATTGAGAGATGCTCTAAATGTACTCGAAACGAGTAATTTATGATTAAGAAGGGAATTATTTTACTTGAGGATATTAGTTTATTTTGCAAACAAATTTTTAGGCAAATGTATATTTATCAACCTCTTGCCATTCGTGGTTCTGAATAAGTTTCACGGGTGTTTTCATCCTGGACGTCCCACAACTTCCCCAAATTGGGCACCCACGCACGTTACCTTCCTGTCAGTTTTGTTCTGTAGGGTTCACTTGGGCTACGGACGGGTGATAAAACTGGCTGTTGAGCGGTTTCTTTTATTTCACTTTAATGCAAACCAACACTTAGTTGACACCTCAATGAGAGGATTCAGTTGTGCCTAAGGGTAACAATCTTTTTGCGATTAAAGTAAACCCCTATTTTCTCTATTATTACAGTGCATTCATAGCTTTTCCTAGCAATTTCTGTCAAGCATTGAACAGAAGATTGCGCCTGCAATCTTACTTTTAAATGCACTTACAGTAATTCCTCCTAGTTTTCTTGTCTTTCTTCACCAAGGTTTTTGAACAGGTTTTTGTCTATGAAACTATTCAGTTATGGCTGTCCTTTAATCGTCCAGGCTGCGACCCTCTTCTCACATTAAAAGCTGATTCGGCTTGTGCTCCTCACGCGTAGTACAACTGATGGGTGGTAGTCCTGTTTACCCTCCCCACTACCCTTTTTTTGGTAATTCGCGTCAAGATTTCGAACTTAAATTTACACAAAGTTATCCAATTTACAAAACAATAAAAAATGAAGGAACATATTAATCAAAAGCTTGTAACATTAACTTAACTTATGTAGTCGTAACTGAAGGAGACGAGTAATCTAGCGTGCGCATCTACTCGCAGTGTAACGCACAGTTGTTCCATTTGCAACTCTGTCGAGTAGAACGCTGTTTCAACAAATCTCGGTCAAGAGAATTGCAAGAAAAAAACTTGCAATGAACGCATATACAACTTTTATCAGGACATATTTGGAATCTGGGTAAGTAGCCGAATTCACCAGGTATTCTGACACTTATGAACAGTAGGGCGTGTGGCAGCAATTAACCTGCATATTTTGACTTTTGAATTTGTTGTTCAATCTCTTTTATTCATTAAATGAGCTGTAACTCAATTTAAGGAGCAATGTTGTATCTGGACTTTGTTTTCCTCACTGCTCCTACTAGTTGTAATTCTATTCGTTGTCTGACTATAATAAAGAGGAGATCACTCGTGTTTTGTCTTGCAGGTCTATCATGCCATTAGCAATCAAGGTAATTTCAACTTCAACTACCTCTGCTTTCTCATCTGCGCCGCAATCGTGGCTGACATTGCATTGGTGACGGACTCCGCCGCCTGTGTCTTTGCCAGCATGCTCTTGTCACCTCTGATGGTAAGCGACTGGCCCTCCAATTTAGCCTTCCTCATGGTAGTTTTTCACATTGCCATAAACTAGCACAAAATTTAACATTCAACTTCCTTTGGGGCAATTTACTGGTAATAGCCTAGAAGTGGTAATTTCGTCGTCTTGCGCAGAGAAAACGTTGTACAAAACACCTTGCTTATAATTTTGACTTTTGTATTCGTTAGGGATACAATTTTAGCCCCATGAAAATTTTCCTACCCTCCTGCTTCAAATCGCAAATGTAATTGCAGGTAGTACTAATACCTTTGTCTCCGTTTTCCGTGAAGAATTATGCTTTTACATATAAGATATTTGGTAATTATAAAAGTTTATTTTGTTAAATGTCTAAATGGACAAAAAATATGCCTATTTGTGAAAGTTAAGTAATTAATAGAGGCCACCTGTAGCGCGATGAGATGAGAAGTGCCAGCCACTGGCCAATGCAATTCAGTTTACTTCGTCGACGGTAGCTTTCGAAAATCTCCACTCTGAGGACTGCCACCTACATTTAAAAATTCATTTCGTTTCTACGTCTCTGTAGGCAATTGCAAAAGCCTTACGCAGACACAAAGGCTTTACTCTGTATTTGGTAACTAACCATCACAACATTTAGTGCTTGTACAGCTTTTAGTTCTTCTCCCATAATGTGAGAGATTTCGGCAATTTTTGGTGCCAACTTTTCTGTAAATTTGGCGTAGAAAGATCAGTCCATGCTTAGTCTTCGATTGTGAGCCATTAGGTTTATTGTTTTCCTGGTAATAAATCCTTGACTAAAATTATTTTCTCGGTATTAGAACAGGTTTACTGATGATTTCAAATCTTAGGGGAATTTGAGAGCGACTGAGCAGGATAAATGCAGTATGGATGAATGAGTTGTTTACACAACAGACTGCTGATTCTTCTTAACACACAAGTAAGGGTTTTCTTTTCAACTTCGAAGCAAAAATTCTGAACTGGCTTCCTTACAGACATGGACAATCACATAACTGCTCCGGTGCCATCACCTAGGTTTCATCGACAAAACTCCTCAAGGTCGAATAAACGACGTCGTTTCACACCTTCGTCAATGTGTGGTTCTCAATTATTTAGTTGTTAATTTTTGAAGTGAATTTTGTGCTGGATCCTTTTTTGGAATAGATTACCCTTATTATTTCGACGTTTCGCCTAACTTACGTGAGAGCGGTAATTTTCCCTTAAAATTCAATGATGAGTCAAATAGCAAATGACATTCAGAAGTTTCCTTCGCCTCACAAGAACTGGCAGTTGTAGTGTGCTTCTTCACTCTACAGCTCGACCGGGGCACTTCCGTTAAAACTTAAACTCACATTTCTCACGAGGGGTGAAAGGTGCAATGTTTTTTGCCACAGGAACCTATCATGTGCATCATATTTGGCTTGAGCCTTCGGGAAAAGAGAATGACCATGAAGGGATTCAGAAATACCACTGTTTCTCTACTCATATGCATCATAGTGGGTAAGTTAACCAGTTTCCTTGTTTGTAAATTTACACCTTTTTTATTAAAATCAGTGCCCTGAATCAAGAACCTTTATCTTTGATTTATCAAACGGTTGTCGCTATTTGTTTGCCAATAAAAATTGCTGACCACCAAGGTATTCAAATTCTTCATTAAGAAGAGCCCGGGATTTCCTTGCAATGAGGTTTTTATTGTCTCGACTACGAATAGAATCCAATCCAGCAAAGAAAATAGGACGTTTGCCTCTCAGGATAAAACACGGACAAAATCTTTACTAGAAACTACGAAATAAGCTCGTTCAATTTAACTTACATTGAATAATTTAGATGTCCGAATTTTTTGCCATATGTAGTAATTTATTACTAACACCAGTTATCATGTGCCCAAAACCTTTTCTGCCTTTCAGGAATACTTTTTGGCATCCCTGCTCATTTCATAAGCATGTTCCAGGGCGTTTCACCATATCCGACGAGCCAGATGTCCAGCAGGTATGTAGTTCTTTAGTATTCATTTTATAATCATTTGGGAGACAGTTTGTAGAAAGGTGGTTGGCTCCTGCGTATTCGCATGCTTTACCACCCAAGCCGCCTCCTAGTTTTAAAAAGACTCCCTTTTTCCGGCGTAACATCTGTTGAGTGATTGAACTCCAAAAAACTAAGCTGACGAATTGGGAAGTGCCTTTTTTTATCCCTTGTTATTCTTACTTATTAGTTATTCCAGAAAGTCTGATTCCACACGTCCTAAGTGATACCAAGCTTGTTTTTTTAAGAGGTGAAGCAAAAGCACTCATAGGCTCGGTGATCGTGGCGGCCACATCTGGAGTAAGCGTGTCCTTTGCCATTCTCTCAAACAGTCTTGCTGCAATGATCGGAAATGCCATTTCTCTTTCCCTTCTGCCACCTTCCGTAAACTGCGTAAGTTCCCTTTGAACATTGCCCGCCGCACCTGGCGCTGCCGGCACACGCGTTTCAGTTTGGCCAGATCTCCACGAGTTGTGCGGGTCCCACGTGACCCCGCCTCATTTACTCACTGCACCTGCAACACAGTTGGCTTGTGCTTAAGATGGGAATCGCCGAAATGCCAATTTCCCGTTTTAGGGTCAATTTTTTTTGCTTGCTGTGATCGCCCTCATTGACCGGCCCTACGTTATGGTACGCACTGTTGCCTTATATGTTTGATATCATCCGGTTTCTACCTTTATGGTAACCAGCATAATTTGAGACATCGAAATCAGTAATTCCCAAAATCATGGTCTATTGTACACGTCGCAAGTGCTGTCTATTACGATAAGAAGACTAAAAAGTGATCATCAAAAACATGCCTGTTAATCATTTGTCGCCTTACATTCACGTCCTGGGCAGGGCACCGCAGTGCTCTAACGTCCTACGAAAAAGCTCTTACGACATCTTCGCAGGTTACCCCAGTTGGACCATGAACCACAACACTATAATATATGTCGAATAACTATCAGGTCACCTTGATATATGTATGTTCCAAGTTAAGCAAAATTGTCGAACTTCGGAGAAGTCCGTGACGTGCACTGACGGTTCAGTTTAAAATTTGCTTATTTAACTAACCACTGTGCATAAATGCACGGAATACAATTGAGCGCGTATTTCTATTGAGATTGCGGGGCTAAGATCCTAGTGCACAAACTGGGCTCAGAATTTAG